GTGTGAGTTGTGAGGACTGGTCAACAAATGTCTTCATTAAATGAGACCAAATCGGGACAAACCTTAGCGAGGATTCTGTTGCCGTCGTTGTCTAATATGGCCATCGCTTTCACCACATATAGAGTCGGTTCCTAAACACCAAATACAAGACATTAAGACATTTCATTATATCATATGAATGGCAAGAATGTCACCAAAAGAGTTGATTCCATCACTAAATGGCAAAACAAGTGTCAAATCAATTGAATCGATGGTAAAGCCAATGACGAGTGAATACACGTATTCAACACATAAAGTATGTCTCCATTCAATGCATTTGCCCATCATTTGTGCCCAAAACTGGTTTATTTTTTTCAATTATTTAATCACTTATCAAATGAATTGATTCCCAAAACCATTAGACGAGTGAATGTGTGACCAATAAATACATTATAAAAATATCACACAATTTATGACTCAATTTACGGACAAATAATTGAAAGATGAACCGCTTGTGCGATATGTATATGAATAGTGTTGCGGTTATATGGGCTGCACTGTAGTGGCGCTGAGTGTTGGTGAGTGGGCGCTCATACAGTGCGGCGTTGTATATACGGTAACAGTGAGTGAGTGTCTGTGAGAGCCAATGGATAACAAGAGAACAAAAGGAGTATTGAATCACAAAATGGCGAACACTTCGGTCCACAAGAGGAAAGACGGCGGACCTAACCATCGATTCTTCGAGTCCTCGGAAACCATTCAGGCCTTCGAGACAGTGAGACAATGGCTGCAGAAGAACTGCAAGAAAGTAAGTGACCCTCGCTTTGGCTGTCAATGAGTGGACGCGTTGACCGGCGTTTGTATGGTTGACACCATCGCCTCGTTATCTCATGTCATGATCTCATGATCTCATTGTTGTGGTTGCAGTTGATTCAGGCGGACCCGCCCACCAACAAGAGTCTGTCGACTCTAGTGATCCAATTGATCCAATTCCAAGAAGACACCTTTGGTCGCACTGTAGTGAAGCCGCCATTGACTCGACTGCCGATGAAGTGCTTTATGGACTTCAAAGGCGGCGGCGGTTTGTGTCGGATATTGGAGTCGGTCTTCAAGTTTAAGTCAGACCAGGGATGGCGTCGATTCGACTTCTCTTCGCCCTCGAGGATGGACCGCAACGTCGAGATGTTTATGGGAATCGAGAAGTTCTTAGTGAACCACAAATGCTTCATTGAGCCCAACGTCTACTTCGCTCCAGAAGTGGACAAACAGTTAGTACTGAAGCTCAAGGACATCGTCAAGAGACATCAGGGAAAGGTTGTCGAGACGCCCGATGAGGCCACACATGTCGTTCATCCGCCCCTCCCGCACAATGGCGAGTGCGACGATTGGATCCGATTAGTGATGAGACGCGACAAATGCGCGCTTCTTCACTGGTGGCAAACGCCCGATAGTTATGATAATTGGGTGACCGGTGTTGACATCGACGTCGAGCCCGAGTCGCCGCACACCAAGTCTGGACCCTTTGAGGTGAGCGCGCGTTGGATCACAGATTTGGATGAATATAACGAATGGATGAACGAAGAGGACTACGAAGTGGACGCCGACTCTCCCGGCAAACGGAAGTCCCCGCGCGGCAAGTATTCGCTCGAAGAACTCTTGGCGTCGGACGACAAACGCGAACGAAAGAGCGGCTCATCCGTGAAGGGAAAGCGGAGGCGCTCTCCCTCTCCGCCTTTGGATAAGAAAAGGCGCGGCAAAGGGAGCGCTAGGAGTCCGGCGCCCGCGTCCACCAGTAAGAAGAAGCTGTTCAGAGGTAATGACGAGGACTCGGAAGACTTGACTAAAGATATGGACGAACCCTCTCCTGAGCCTAACCTCCAAGAAATCAGTCTTCCGAGGAATACAACGAACCCTCGAAGCAATAAAGACAACGAGTCGGCGCCCATCAAAGGCGGGGCTCTCATCGATCTCGACAGCAATGACGCCGAAGAGAAGATACCGCCGGAGGACAGGAACGGTACGAGTAAACTGATAGCCCAAGCGATGTCTCCCAACTCGAGTCGAATGGCGAGCGAAAGGCAACCCAAAGACGATTCAGCCGATGATAACGTGACAGAACAGGCGAATCACATCATAATCCCCTCGTATTCCTCGTGGTTTGACTACAACTGCATCCATGCGGTCGAGAGGAGAGGTCTCCCGGAGTTCTTCAACGGTCGCAACAAATCCAAGTCACCGGAGGTGTACATCGCGTACAGGAATTTCATGATCGATACCTATCGGCTCAACCCCACAGAGTATCTGACAGTGACTGCCGTTCGGCGTAATATTGCGGGCGATGTGTGCGCTATAATGCGAGTGCACGCCTTCCTGGAGCAGTGGGGTCTTGTCAACTACCAGGTCGACGCCGACTCACGGCCCACACCCATGGGTCCGCCCTCTACCAGTCATTTCCATGTGTTGGTCGACACGCCATCGGGCGTTCAGCCTCTGAACCCCCCGCGCGCTCAACAATCAGCCGCCTCTCAAATGCTGAATATGACCGCCAAAGAGGGCGTTCCCGATGTGAAGAGTGAGGACAAAATGGGTGCGTCTGCTCTGAGTGACAACTTCGGTCTAAAGATGGATCAATACGCCAAGAAAAACGCGTACTTCAAGAGCAAAGCGGCGGCCACTCTGTCGCGCGAATGGACAGAACAGGAGACGCTTCTGCTTCTCGAAGGACTCGAGTTATACAAAGACGACTGGAATAAAGTGTGTGAACACGTCGGCAGTCGTACTCAAGACGAGTGTATTTTGCATTTCCTTCGGTTACCCATTGAAGACCCATATCTGGAAGACTCGGCCGGAGTTCTCGGACCACTCGCTTACCAACCGATTCCTTTCTCAAAGTCTGGAAACCCTATTATGTCTACCGTTGCGTTCTTGGCCTCAGTCGTCGACCCAAGGATTGCATCGTCGGCTGCGAAGGCAGCGATGGATGAGTTCTCGAAGATCAAGGATGAGGTTCCGGTCGCTCTAATGGACGCTCACATTAAGAACGTTGAGGCGGCTGTTGCTTCTGAGGGCAATTTGGACCCCAAAGTTGGACTTTCTATGACTGGAATCGCCGGCACTTCTGACAAAGAGGAAGAAGAGACAAAGACTGACAAAGAAGTGACTGAAGAGAAGAGTGAAAAGGATTCAAATGATTTGAATTCTGTTGGCGAGAAACCAACGCTTCCAACAGAGGAGGCCATGGATGTCGACAAACCAAAGGAAGAAAAGATTGCTAACGAAGAGGAAAGCACTACCGCTGAGTCCGAGAAGAGTGCGACCGAACAGACGGTGAAGTCGGAGATAAACAAAGAAGAGGTGGAAAAAGACAAGAATTTGAAAGAATCTCAGATATCGATCGCAGCGGCGGCTGCTTTAGGTTCGGCTGCAGTCAAAGCGAAACATTTGGCAGCCGTTGAGGAGAGAAAAATAAAGTCTTTAGTCGCTCTTCTTGTCGAGACTCAGATGAAGAAATTGGAGATAAAACTGAGACATTTCGAGGAATTGGAAGCTATTATGGATCGCGAGAGAGAAACTGTAAATATATCTATAATTGTATAAATGATTTGAATCTAAATTGATTGAAATATGCGTTGAATGACAGCTCGAATACCAGAGACAGCAACTGATGCAAGAGAGACAGCAGTTCCATATGGAACAGCTGCGCGCCGCAGAGTTCAGGGCCAGACAACAGGCACACGCCATGTTTGCCTCACAACAGGGCTCACAACAGCCACAGGCTCTCAGCCAAACAGCTCCAGAAGTGGATGCACTGCAAGGTTCGCAACAAAGATCTGTTCCGCCCGTTGTTACGCCGTCAGCGCCGGTCGTGAGACCACCGCCGCCTATGGCTTATAATCAATGGCAAAGACCGCAGATATCGACACCGCAGCAAATGGCACAACCGATCCCACAACAGTCACAGCCGGCGCCACCACCACAACAATCACCACTACATCAGGCAATACTGGGCCCTCCGACGCATACAATGGTTGGTCAACCGCCTCATTCTCCTGTTCCCCCGCAGCAGCCATTACCCAAATGATCTCAGCATTAGCTCTATGGGTCTTATTGAACAGATTCCTCTCAAACGCCTTCTGCTCTTTAGTCGTGGGAAACGTGTCGTCGAAATACTGTTGCAATCAATTAATTACCGTTACTTTCAGTCCATTTCACGCTTTCATTCATTTGAGATAACAATCAAAGGCTTTATATTTAAACATTTATTACTAACACTAAAAGTATGACAAATAAAGTGACACTTTCATAGCATACAGTATTAGGGCATATCATATACTGTACCTGGTATATTACTGTACTGTTATACCACTACCGGAATAACCGGCACCAAAAATTAGCATGCTAGTTTATTACTTAATTAAATACTGTGCCATTCAATTTTCAACTGTCAATTGACTGGTATAGTCGTCTTGGTCTCAATGGTTAACATGTCATACACTCTATCACTAACATAGCCAACAATGGCAACAATTAATCACTCAATTGGTCTCGCATTGAAACCTCAGTGCGTTAACTGTAACTCTTTCAGAGGATATAAGTGTTAAATGAATGGACAATACAGACAATGCATAAACACATTCATGTCTTAAGGAAGTGTGAGTTGTGAGGACTGGTCAACAAATGTCTTCATTAAATGAGACCAAATCGGGACAAACCTTAGCGAGGATTCTGTTGCCGTCGTTGTCTAATATGGCCATCGCTTTCACCACATATAGAGTCG